TGTATAAGTGAATGAGTCAAAATTTGACGCGGATCAAACTCCAGCACCGCCATTTCGAACTCATATTACTCTTGATCGATACAAGTGGCTCAATCCATACTCAGTTATCGTCTTCCGAGTCAACTGGCACATGCACAGCATGTCAAGGTGATCAAAGGAGGACACAAGAGAGATGCCCGTTCCTGCCCCAAACAGTGGATGTTTATTGCTCGATATGCAACCGTATCTGCGCATAAGACTTCGGCCACGGAAAGGATATTTGTGTCCACAGTCGCTGATTGCGTAACACGCTCGACTTCCTCGTTCTTCGAAGAACTATCATACTTTTATGTTCCAAGACTATAATTTGTCTTTGCAATGCTGTTGATTATTTATAGGATATTGCAATTTGAAATTAATGTGATGAGTCATAACTTCAATGCAAATTGATAATAATGTTGAGGACATTTGCAGAACAAAATCACAATTCCTTTTATTGCTTCCTACAACAGTAATACTACGCCTAACAAAAGAACAGAATACTCAATGTAGCTGAAAGCAAATAAATTCCACAGAAAATATATATATATATATATATATATATATATATATATATATATATTCGACTTCTGTTCAAGTTTTAAAAAATAAAACTGTTGTTAACGTTATTGACGGTCAAAAGTGTGGCCTAAAAAGCGATTGCTTTCGCAGATAAGGTCGTTCTAATTAATGCTGACCATCACATCCACAGTGGCAGATTTCAAAGAGTACTTGCTACTATGACGGTATCAACGTGTGTAAGGGATATTTAAACAAGAGCTAGACGTCTACAATTTGTGGGGTGACATGGAAACTGTCCACTTAACACTCATTTAGAATATAGAGGAAATGAGACTGATTCGACTGTGAACGTTGCATAGCATGTCTTAGCTGCGAATGTCTGAACTGTTGGAATTAACAGTTGCCATGGAAATAGCGATAGGCTTGCTACGATGCAAAATTAGTCTTGCCAGTGCATGAAATTTAAGTGCTCGTGATTTTAACCGGATTAAAAGAGATTAAGGATTATCAATGTCCAGAATTTCGGTGGTATGTAGTATATATGACACGTTCAGCGGAGGAGGGGCGTATGCAACATTTGATAATAATTGCTTAAACGTTTTAGGCAGTTTTCATCAACATTTTTTTTCAAGGACCGCCGTATGAAATTGTAAATGTAGTATATATAACACTTAATTAAAATAATAAATTATTAAGAATTTATTGCAAGAAATATCAAGATTTACAGAAACATTGTTGATAATTATGTATTCATTTACATAACTGTTGTGACCAAGTAAATGATTAAAGAAATAACAAAACAAGTGTTGCATATCATATATTAAACAGTAAGTACAACAGTAAGGTATTACACGACTAGTGAGTGTGTGTGTCAATCTATTCGACTTAATATTTAGCATCCCTCCACGAGAGTAGATGTGGCACAAGGCCGAGTTTAACGTGGGTCATCCGAGCCCTTAGGCTCGGCCAAAAATCCCCGTAGAACGAGTTCGGGTCTGTCTACCTCCCCGGACGAGACTGCTCTTCGGCACAGCTTCGTCCGGGTTACATTCTGCCCAAAGGCAGAGAGTTCGACAGCAAAAGTCATAGCCTCGGTAAAACAATCTATTAGACCGTTTCACCAAGGCCTTCTCTCCTACTAATCTTATAATAGGTGGAAGAGCCTTTAGAGGGAGGACACCACAACAATAACATAAATAAAAATTTAAAAAATATGATGATATATTAGATTTGTTGTTAGGTATTTTCATTTTCTCCTTTGTTATTGGTAGCATTTTAGAATACTGAAATGCGAAGTTTCTTAAATTGAACAAACTGCGGCTATTTCGTTTATACCTCTCTTTTGTATTACTATTTTTAGATCACTTTCTTCCAGTCATTTTGATGGACAATAACGAAATTCTGACATTTACAATGATCTTATACCGTTTAAACAATAAAACCTGTAAAAAGAAATATTTTAAATTAGTATATGACCAACAATAAAATGCTTTTGACAAAAAACCTTAATGATTTCATTATAATTATGTAACAATAATGTAATGATATTTCGCAGACAAATCCACGGTTTATGTTCTACGGTTACGAAATATAAACCTAAATTGAACTTGAAATATTGCGTAATCAGCTCTAACTTTTTGTAAAATATTTGGATATGAGAGAATGAATAATTCTCAGTAAAAAAAAAAAGAAAAAAAAAGCCAGTTTTGATTTTTTGTTGAATACACCCCTCCTCTGCCGAACGAATCTTACACTGAAAAATCTTAGTGTACTAATTTAGAAATAGTTAACGTTTTCTGCTATGGATCACGTAATTAATCCAGAGAATAAGCACTTTTCGTTTCGAATATACATAACCAGATATACATCTCAACGTTCAAGATCTTGCGCTTCCGTCAAGCAAAATTAGTGATAAAAATAATTTGTCGAATCTTTCCGAGCACTTGCTTGGAGATGCGTGTCATTTTAGAGAAAGAAAAAGAGAGATAGTGAAGAGGAAGAAGGAGAGAGAGAGAGAGAGAGAGAGAGAGAGAGAGAGAGAGAGAGAAAGTGCTCGATTCACTCTGTGCTTAATTGGGGCCTTAACATCACTGCAGTAAATGAATTCGGACATATTTCTTTAAAGCGAGAAAAAAAAACAGGGATATTTCTCTTTGAAAATCCAAATAGGCAACGTCAAATTGAATACACAGAGTTCACTTAAAAATATTTCCGCCTACACAGGAAAATTGTTTCTAGGAATTGTGTAATAAGCAACAGTTCTCTTCAATTCAAAACATGCACACATACTTGTATATGTAAATAAATCTCTCCACCAATCATTTTGTAGCTTACCTTTTATTTTACACAAACATATTTCTTTATTCTTCAGTCTCTTTAATTCAATAATATGTTCCTTACATAAAACGTTCGCTCTTTTATGTACTGTGTCCCTTCAGTTTTTGGGTAACCAGGGATCACCACAACTTCCTATCCTTTGTAGCTCTTAACAATACTGGCTTATGGCCATATCACGTTGAAGCACTAAATTCCGTACGATCACCGAAATTAAGCAACGTCGAGACTGGTCAGTACGGAGATGGGTGAGCGCCTAGGAATACCAAGTACTGTAAGCTTCGATGTGCGTGTGGTGTAATGGATAATGTCTCTATTCTAACCCACGGTATGTTACTGAATAGAATAATCACACGAAGGTTGGTAATGGACGATAACACTTAGGATAAGGAAAACATAAGATTCGCCAACGGCGCGTAAAAGAAGTCAACAGCTAGAAGTGATTCAAGTGAATTCTACAATGAATCTTCAAATGCAGAATATCGACCAAGGGCCCCACACGGTCAGATGTGGCGCAAGGCCGAATTTAATGCGAGGTATCGGAGCTTGTAGGCTCGGCCAAATATTCCATGTAGACCCCGTACAAAACGAGGTCGTGTAGCTGTTTCCAGAGACGAAACTCTGCCATTCGACATAGCCTCGTCTGGGGATCCTCTCTGCTCGGAGGCAGAGAGTTTGACCAGCACAGCTGGAGACGAATCTCCAACTTCAGACCAACATACAGTAACTACTGTATTTATGTGAATGGGAACATACCCATTATCGTCCGTAGGTATGCTACAACAGTCTCTAAATTATTAATTGATTTCCTTATATTCCCTTACACACAAATACCCTTGGGAAAGATATGAATCTAGCTCTTTTTCTCTCAGGGTTAATAAGACTTCTATCACTAAATAATTATTATCTAAAAAAAAAATAGATTCTTACAATTTAAACTTTTTTTTGGCTTTAAACGAATCAACCAATACAGTATTTACATTAGTCGGACTATTGTCCTCATCTTTGTCGCCATATTTGTCACAACGTTTCGGCCGTTGTACGCTCCGGCCTTCTTCAGGTGGTTGGAATTTCGAACTGAAGAGTCAGTATTGAATAAGGGTCTCAACTTCGCCACAACCATCAGGCGGGTGCCATACTTGGACATCATTGCCAGAGTAGAGGAGGTGGCCTTGAACATCCCTCAGGCTCAGGCGGATGAAATGAGATGGAAAGTGAGACAGGCCTTGGAGAGAGCCAAGCTGCCCAGGTCTAACATAACAAAACTGGAGAGACTGGCGATTGAATCACTACAGAGGAATGAGAACATCATCATACTACCGGCTGACAAAGGTAATGCGACTGTAGTGATGGACAAATCGGACTATATAAGAAAACTGGAAGACCTCATTAGCAATGGTAGCTACAGCATAGTGAAGAAAGATCCTACTATGAAAACGGAACGCAAACTGTCACAGATCCTAATCAAGAACAAGGATCACTTCGCACCCAAGACGTATAGGCAGTTATCGCAGCGTTACAGCAAGTTACCTCACATATACGGTCTCCCTAAGATTCACAAAGACGGTATTCCACTCAGGCCGATTGTCAGTTGCCAAGGCTCTGTGTGCCACCCTCTGAGTCGCTTCCTTGTAGATATAATTGACCCATTGATCGGAAAGTCTCCTTCATATGTCCGAAACTCCGCCCACTTCGTGGAAATAATCAAAGATGCTCCCATCCTATCCAACCAGATGGTGAGCTTGGACGTGGTGAGTCTGTTCACCAAGGTACCCACGGAGGAGGCACTCTCAGTAGTCAGAGATAGATTAACCTCTGACTCTTCCCTAGAGGAGCGGACCAGTATTCCAATAGATAATCTGATGGAGATGTTGACTTTCTGTACACAAACAACACACTTCGGAATGGGATCTCACATATATCGACAGGATGAGGGCTTAGCAATGGGCTCGCCATTATCACCAGCAATGGCGAATATATACATGGAATACTTTGAAGAAATGGCATTAGAGTCTATATCTTTAAAGCCAACTATATGGTTACGGTACGTAGATGACACTTTCATACTCTGGCCACATCAGGAAGAAGTCCAGGTTCTTCTGGACCATGTGAACTCAATGAGACCTTCGATACAGTTCACAATGGAGAAGAGAGTAACAACTCACACCCATTCCTGGATGTACTAATATCTCGAACAGAGAATGGGTTCAAGACATCCGTATACCGTAAACCAACATTCACCGGACAGTACCTAAATTTCAACTCCCACCATCCATACAGCGTAAAGAAAGGGATCGTCCGATGCTTACAACACCGAGCAAAAGTTATAAGTGGCGATCCAGAGACGTTAGATAAGGAATTGGTCAGTATAAGTAGTACCCTACAACGCAACAACTACCCCGGGTACATGGCAGCAGCCCCCAAAACTGGGATAGGCGGGTACAAGAGAAGGAGGAGGAGGAGGACAACAACACTCAGAAAACAGTCTGCCTGCCTTATGTGGAGGGGTTGTCAGAGAAAATAAAAGGATCTGCGGTCCATATAACATCAGGACAACCTTCAAAAGCGTGACAACACTTCGCAGATATCTCTCACGAGTGAGACCCCCATAGAGAGGAACATGACTAAAGACTGTGTGTACGCTATCCCATGCAGCTGCGGAAAGCAATATAAAGGAGAGACAGGCCGCCCCCCTCAAGGTAAGGCTTCAAGAACACCAGAAAGCTGTAACGCGAGGGAAGTAGAAAATCAGGCGTGGCTGACCACATATGGAGAGAGAAGGAGATCACCGCCCCTGTGGGATCATGTTCAGATCATAGACAGGGAACACCATTGGAAAATTCGTAAACTTAAGGAATCAGCACATATGCTAGGCCACAAAATCTCCTGAGCCGACCAAGCATAGAAATAAATACAATATGGGAACCAGTAATAAGGAGTGCCAGAGAAAAGCAATGATAACAAAGTTGCAATATGAACTCTGGTAAAGACATGCAATGATAATAAAAATTTGAAATATGAGCACTGGTAAAATGATGCTGAAAACATTAGGTTTATAATACTCAAGTTCATACCCAGATGTCCTCAAGGACACATGGCACAGTGGATAAAGGCGTTGGTTAGTGACAGACCCAAAGAAGGTGAGTTCAATTCCTGGTTAAGGCAGTGGAGAACTTTCAGAGGAAAATTAGCAGGAGATAACTGATAACTGACATCCATCAAAACATGGCACGTGGAATTAGAACAGTCTACCCCATGATCGAAAATAAAGGGTTCAGTTCGAAATTCCAACCACCTGAAGAAGGCCGGAGCGTACAACGGCCGAAACGTTGTGACAAATTTGGCGACAAAGATGAGGACAATAGTCCGACTAATGTAAATACTGTACATAATACCTCATCTCAGAAATATAGACAAACTCTGAATCAACCAATCTTAATTTTTTTATTATACTTCTCATTACCTCATCTGCCATGCATTTACATAAAATGGATATGTCGTTTACTCGCTGTTTCATCTTTCTCCTCTTGATTTCAGTATGTCCTGTGAGTGACAAATTATCGAGTACCTTTTATGCTTCCCTAGAAATTGAAAGTTTCCTGTGTTTAATTCTTCTGTATGCATTTTTTAAAACTCCGCATTCTTAAATACACCGTCCATGGTATTTTCAGCATACCTCAGAACCACAGTTCTGTTGAGTGTAGAATTTTCTGCATCTTCGAGGAAATTGTGCAGAATTCACTGCCATAAAGGAGGACAGATATTACATAACAGTTCAGAACTGAAGACTTTGCTTCCAACGAAACGTTCCTGTTTTTTAATACTTTGATTAGATTTTGGAAAGCTTGTTTCCTTACTCTAACAAACCTTTGGATATCAGCATCAAATTTTCCGTGGTTTATTATAGAACGTCTCTGCAGATCGAAATTCAGATCGTAATTACTTGTCAGGCTACAGAATTTTTGATCCACCCTAGTGAGTGCCCCCGTTGGAGTCTGCGGTTGGTCACGCTTGGTATATATATGTGTGTGTGTATGTGTGTGTGTTGCTTACGAATACTAGAGCTGGGGTGTTAACACGTACACTGAACTGCAGATATATAAAGATACACATACATAGGTACTAGATATGAACAGTGTGGACATAGAAATCAACACTGTCTGGTGACAGTCAGTTTCACGCCTTAGACAATTATCATAACATGTAATGATATTAGCAGTCTTCTTCGACACATGTAGCAAATTTTAAACCACACACAAGATCATCTTCAAGAGTGCAAGCAGTACAAAACTATATGTTGCTTAGCGGTACAAGTATTTATAAAAAGCTGTGCGTTGCTATCCATTACCGTAATTTTTCATTATGCTTTTAAATACAAACGGTTGATAATGTGCTGAGCGTTCATTCGAACGGGAAAAAATTATCCATTATGGATTTTTTCTCTATTATGTCATGATCATGCGCACAAAGAAGCGTGAAAAAAATGTACGTTTATTGGCCTTCCAGAACATTACTGCGGTATCCATACTTGATTCTGTTGAGTGCCTGCTTTAAGTTTTTAATATAAATTGCTTCTAAGATCTGTATCTTGAATTTAATATTTTCTTATTGTAGGATAGTCGTGTTGTCGATCAGTAATTTTTTATATTGTGAATCTGGATAGAAGTGTTGTTGTGAATGTCTTGCAGTGGACGAATAGTGTAGTGTAAGATGTTTTGTTAGAGTAGTTGTCTTTTACCCAGCGTGCTTGGGAAATGGAAATAAAAAAAATGAAACAGTTATAGCACATTTCTCTCATCCTTTAATATCAATACACGGGAAGTTATTTGTGAGTATGAAGGGATTTTGTTAAAGAAAGATAAGAAGACATCTCATCAACACATCTATCATCACCATTTCTCATACCAAGCCAAATGGTTTTATTATCACATTGGCAGAAATTCTCGTTTGTCAACAGTTAGAAAGGATTTCAAGGCTCACTAACAAATACAGAAAAAATACAGTTTTCGGTTTCTCTCTTTCTTTACATACGTGTGTGTATGTAGAATGATAAAAAAGAAAAGTGGGAAACAAATCTCAATCAAACATGTTTCGCCTTTATTAAGAAAACCGAATACAAAATAAACGTCCATCAAAAGTTTGAGTCATTAAATCACACTTTTGGTACCATCAATAAATGCGGATTTTTTTAGTATATATATATATATTTTATTCTTCATATTTCTGTTTACACGTGTTTTCGGACTCGTGATTTCTTCTTCAGGCTAATAAAAGGAATA